ATTTTGGGGTACAAGGAAGAAAAGCTTATCTATTAAATGTAGATTACAGCCTGTCAAGTTAAATAGCGATGTTGTAATTACTTTGTTTGGTTCTGTTTGGAATTGCTTTTGTTAGGTCCGGGCTGCAATTAACGCACTGGAGCAGCCATCCTGCCTGCATTCCTTGGCTCTTTCGGCGTCGCTGGGAGTGGGGAAGCGCTGCAGTTTATTTGCATCTCTTTGAAAAGGAGTTACTTGAGCTAGCTTAAATTTTAATCGATGTTTTTAATTTATCCGAAGGAGATGCTTCCCGTGCCGGTGTGCACGTTAGTGATGCCGGGAAAAATGTGAACAGGCACTGCTTGTGCTCCTCCGTGTGGGGAGCGCGGCAGCGGGGCTGCTTTCGGTTTGCGGGTAGGTGCGCACCGTTTGGTCATAATTAGTGGTGACTCATGCAGGTGTCACCAAGACGAGCTGCAAAAGAGTTTTCCAAGCCTTCTTAAGGTGTTTACTTTGTCTCGGATCTCTAAAGACACCCCGTTATACCTGTCCAGGCAAAGGGTGCTGCAGGCTGCACGGAGAGCTCGGCTGGTGGAATCATCCTGCGTGGGTCCTCCCGAAGATGTTCACAATGGCTCTCCTTTTGTTTCGAGGTTTTGTCCACGAGCTTTTTATTTTTTATGAGCTAGATTTGTTCATTATGTGGGAAGCCGCCACACACAGAATAAGGTGATCTATATGATGCTAAAGTAAACAACAAATGCACTTCTAAAACCGTTTGTTTATAACTATTTTGTTTGTAGTAACTATGACAGGGAGTCTTCAACTAGTCCTTGCTCGTGGATGCAAATGAAGTGTTGATGAGATAGGTACAGTTCTGGAGAATGTATTTGGATTAACAAGATTAATGGCAGAGGTGCAAAATATCCTCACTTGGTAAATTTAAAAAAAAAAAAATCTACATTTTATTCAGTCAAGAACTATCTTTTCATATCACTTGGTAAATTGAAAAAAAAAAAAAATCTACATTTTATTCAGTCAAGAACTACCTTTTCATTGACCTGGCTCTGTCACCTGTGGAGTTGTTTCCTACAGAGATGCCAGCTGACACTGGGAAGGTGTCACAGTGTGCTGAGCAGGTCTGATGTTTGGGAGCTCTGTTTTGTCCCACTGTGTTAATCAGTGACAAAGTTGTTGCATTTGTTTGCTGACATGATGGTGGAACTTCAACAGCAACTTCATGTTATTGGACTCTTTCGAAATTAAATGACTCTTTGGAAGGGCATTTCTATTGGTGTTTTAGGGACAAGACACATTATTGGCTCTTAATAGCAAATGGAAGTTTAAATTGGTTACTGGAAAGCCTTTGGCTGGAACATTGCTTGAGTTTTCACTTTTGTTTGCTTTCTTTTATTTTTTCCCTCCTTGGTTACTTTCAAAGAGAATGGAGTGTAAGGAAGGAGTAAAGATTACACTTACAGTGTAGTTTCGCAACACATCTGTGTTATGTATGAAAATTCTGTTTAACTTCAGAAAAGATATATTAAGCTGTCTAGACACTCTGCTCTTAGTTCAAAATTTAAGTACTCTTCTTCTCTACCTCCCCAATAATGGAAATAAAATGAAATATCACCTTATTTTTAGTTACTGGATTTAAGAATGGGATTTCAGCTGTAATAGAAACTGCAGCTAGCTGTGCTGTATCCATCCTGGACTAAGATATTTGAGAAGGAAGCTTTGCCAGCTGGAACGTGTGTCAGTGTTATCTCCATGTGTGTTGTAACAGATGTTGAGCAGAGACTACTTGTCAGAGGTACCTTGTAGGAACTTTTAAAGATGCTTGTTTGTTTCAGTACATTTCTCTTGCATCACTAACTTTTTCCATAAAGTCAACCACAAACTGCATTATTGGGGACTCCAGCTGAAACTTGTGGTGAATAGGAAATAGATTAAACACAGGTTTTCCCTTTTCTCTGGTTGCCAACAGTGATGTCAGTAGTTTTAATGATCCTTACCTCAGCTCGCTGCTGTCCTCACACTCTCTATTAAAACACTTGTCTTCTGCACTGTTTTGTGTGTTGTTAAGGAAATGCTGATGGCTGGAGGTATCCAGCCCATTACTTCATTTCCAAATAAGGTTCTTTCACCTTAAAGCACTCTGCAATAGCTCACTGAGGAGAGAGGAGATTCAGATTGTTTTGTCAAAAATTCAGGAAATACTCTTTTGAAGTCCAGCAAAGAACATTTGTATGCTAAAACTGAGGATAGTGCTTTTGGCTGTGCGTAAGGCACAAGTAATGGATCCAAGGCTTATAGGATGAGTGTATTTCCAGTGACCTCAGAGGAGCAGCTTTGCTCTCAGATTGTCTGTTTCCTACACATCTTTGTGCATTCAGACAGAACAGGCACCACTGGACTGCAGCAGTAGTGTGGGTTGTCATTCTCGGTTACTCAGTTCGTGGTTTGTTGTAAGAGATTGATCAGAGGAATTGGGTATGAAAGCCAATAATTACAGTCAATAGTTTCAGATGGTCCTTAGCAAAGATGCTAGTTGATTTTTTTTTTTCCTTCCCAAAATTAAAAGAAGACAAAAGCTACCAAGACATCTTTAGGAAGGGGTGACAAGCAGATTTCCATGTTGTGCTGCTGAAGATCTGGAGGTATAAGCACAAGCTTGAAACTGCTGCATGCCCCTGTGTCCTGTCATGCCTGCAGCTGATATTTGTATGAAATTCAGCCTGTACCAGGTCATGTCGTACATAATTCTGGTCCTTCATCCTCTCCAACTCCTTGATATTTCAGGCTTCTGTGATTTTTCACTCTTTTTACACATGTGCAGGACTATAATGTACAAGTTTTGGTTTTCTGTAACTATGTGTTTCTTCAGTTTTCTTAGTGAATTTCCTCTAGGAAGTGTTTTGGTTTTCCCATAGACTTGTTACCTCTTTCTTCTTCTGCTCTTCTGACTTTGGAATCCGGGAATAAAAGCCCTCCAGTAGTGGTTGAGATGACTTCTTGGCTGTATTAATGGAATTGGTGAGGAATTGGATGGGACAGGCCGTTTTGTTCAATACATGATGTATTTGAGTTTAGATGACCTGAATACTGGTGAAGAGGCATAGAACTTGGTCCTGATACTGCAAATCATGTATTATTTATGTTCTTAAAATCTCTTAGCAGAATCAAGTCTAGCCATGTAGAAAAGCTGTTTCTTGCTGTCCTTCCACTTGCCCTGTCAGTGCAGGGCAGGTTGGACCTTTGGTCTTCGCTGGGGGCACCCAGCAGTTCCTCTGGCCCTGCTGGATGGGAGCTGGGTGTGGAACATCCCATCTTGGACATGCAGCATACACATCATGCACACTTTGTTCCTCCATTTAAACAAGCCATTTCTCTTTTGTTGCTTGTCTTTATTAATAAAGTATGGCATTACTGGCTAATTTTAGGTCAAATGTAGTTGAAAGCTGAAGCTATGTGAAGCTGTGTATAGATGTTCGGGTAGGAACATTCCAGTAGATCGCAATGTGAGTGCAGAGGAAAGCTGAAAGTAAATAAGAGATCTGTGAGATAATTCTCCAGGGAGTTTTCACAGCATACCACACATCATTTGCAGGGATAGGCTTTCCTTTCACTTGAAGGACCACACAAAGTAAATTTTGTTTCTTGTGCAATTAAAGAATATAGGACAGGAGGTCTTTTCAGTTTTTTCACTTCAACGTGTCTGTGGGAAGCCTTTATTTGTACTGAGGAAAATTAACTGTTTACCTGTCTTTGCAGGAGCACAGTTAATATTGAACAAAGAAATAGACACATTTTTATGTACAATATGTGTCTTGCTTCAGCAGATTTTAGCACAACTATTGAAATGTAAATGCTGGTAGTCCTCTAACCCCAGCAGAAGACAAATTGTATTCATTTCAGTGCTGCATGGTTCAGTTCCCAGTGGGTCTGGCTGCATGTCAGTGGTGTGCAGAGAGGAACTGGGACTGTGGTGTGGGAGGCCCAGGGGTGCTGGGCAGTGGGGGACACCAGGGCTGTGTGTTTGGCCAGCCAGTGCCGCAGGGCCTCAGCAGCAGTGGGAGGCAGCCCTGGTGCCCAGCGTGTGACCTCAGTTCTGTGTCCCCCAGCAGGGACCGTGCTCCCCACAGGGGCTGCAGCAGCTGCCAGCAGGACACGAGGCCATCAAGCTCCGAGTGCATCCTGCTGGGCACTGCCTTGCTCCCCATCAGGGCTGGGACTGACAGCCTGCCTGGGGAGAGCCAGCAGAAAGGCAGAGTCCAGAGGACTTGCTGACCCAGACTGGTGCACTGGGTCAGGGGGGCTGCAGCAGATCAGGAGAACTGGGGGGACGGGGTCAGAGGCAGCTTCTGGCATTCATTCCCCTCTAAACCTGTGCTGTGCATTATCGGGGTTGCAGGACCTTGTTATTCACCCAGCCCTCTTATAGGGAAGCAGAATGTAGATAAATTTATGGGCTTTACCAAGATTTTCTATGTGCTTTTTTTTTTATTTAGAGCTTGTATATCAAATAGGAAGTGGTAATGGTGCACCCTGAATGCTCCATTCCTTGGTCATCCTTCCCAGGCCAGCCTGGTGTTTGCAGGTGGCCAGGAAGGCCTCTTGTAGGGACTGATGTGCAGTGAATCTTTCCTGTAGCTGGTAAAAATGCCTACAGCAGGCTGGTGTTTGGAGCTTTCCTTTCTCTTATTACAGGAGCTTGTCAGAGTTAATCAGCATGGACACTTAAATTGTTTCTGCTTAGGTGAATCTCTTGCAAGTTTTAGATGTGTTTCTGACTGCTTTGAATTTTATTGCCAACATCTGTTTTAAATGCTTTTGGGATTCACATGCTTGAGTACAGTTCAACTGTGTATGCCATAATTTTTCAAGGTGCTAACACTTTCTGTTTGAATGATAACTCTTTTAAAGAGAAGAAAAAAGAAAAAAAAGGAGGGGCAGGGAAATAATTGCAGAAAAATTTTTAAGTGCTCATGATGCTAATTTTCTTTCTCTTTCAATTTCAGAATGATGACCTACACAACCTCAACAAAACCTTCTTTTAAACTCATGGGTATCAAGACTATAAATGTTTCATGCTACCACAACTAGGACCTCACCTCCTCCTCCTCTTCCTCTGTAAATGGGTACGATGCATCCAGTTCAGTTTGTTTACTTTACACAAACCTCAGGAGTTGTTGACTGAGCTGCACATCCTGTGTTGTGCCAAGCAGAAGCACTGTGACACCTGGACAACAAGTCTCTCTTACTTCATCCTCTACCATAAGGACTTAGCTGGCCACATGAACTGATGTGCCCACCACTACATCATGGTGAGAATGGGTATTTTACTAGCACATTTACACGACTTCATTTGCTGCTGAAAACCTGTATGACAAATCATCATTGTAAATTATTACATACAAGACTTAATGTTGGTTGAAGAGTATTAAATATTTAACATAGGTTTTGATTTATACATGTACTTTTTTAATTAAAATGTAACTTTTCCTACAGCACATCTTTTTTGATGTGGAACTGAGGTATACTATATTCTGTTGTAAACAGAGTGGGGAACCTGCTTAAAACAAGGCTTCTAAGAATAGAGTAGGGTACTATTCTTGTTTTAAGATTGTAATTCAGAAAATAATATAATACAAGTCATTGGTCCCTGGGCCTTGATTGTACAGTCATATTTACTGATACTATCAGTTGTAAGATAACCCTGATGTTGAGCTGAATTCTTTCCAAAAGAAAAATAATTTTGTACTCCTTGTAAAATAATAGTCTGTATTAACTGCAATGAAGACAAACATTACTGTACATGGGTATTTGCAAGTGTCAACTTGAATTCGTCAATTGCACAGTAACTGACAAAAAAATCAGAAAAAAGAAATCAAAGTCTTCCATTGTATATATTGTAAAGAAGAAAAACAAACAAACAAACAAAAAACAACCAACAGGAAACCACAAAGCAAAATGGAAACGAAAAAGTGTGAACTTTTTAAATTGACTCTTTCCCTGGAATGAAAATGTGGGTGTTTGTAAATTCTGGAAATCTCTTTCTATATGTAATAAACTAGATACTGTTTTATCTGCTGTAGTGGGTTTTGGGTCTTTTTTATTTTCTTGGTAAGCTGTCTCAAATATCTGAAATTGTCCTGCGAGGTTTCTGTGATGTTTCCATGGTTTGTCATTGAGAATGGCTGTGGACCACTGTAGCTTAAGAATGAAGTGTAATTAGGTGAAGTGGGGAGTATGCTTCCTTGCATTATTTCACTAAAGCCCTTGTTTCAGTTTTCTGGAGACTTTTCAGGATGCAGCTCTCCTTCCACTGAATTTGGGGGAAAGGCTCACATCTTGTAAAATCACTTGGAAGCCATATCAAGACTTCAGCATAAAATTTAAAAAGCACAACTCAGATGATTGTCTGGAAATCAGTGCAAGAGGCATGACAAGGAAAAATTCTTCTGTGACTGTCCTCTGCTTTACACTGATTCTATGCAGATGTAAATTCTTCTGTGCATAACATTTTCAGAGTCTTAATTCTTTTGGGGACTGGAAAAATACTGAGATCATGGATTTTCAAGTAAAATGTTGTTGAAGTGATAATTGAATTTGAAGCCATATCAGGTCCCTGTTGGTCCCTCGTGCTTCCACAAAGCAACTCCATGGGCTAGTGCACATTCAAAAGAATTCTTGTTATCAGGAAAAAGCAGGCAGGCACAGCAGCAGCTCTACCTGCAGGAAGGCTTCAGCCCTCAAAGAAGGGGTTTTTTCCCCTTGAGATGTTTATGATGTCTGGGATTAGGCTGTGGTTACTGCAGTGTCCACTTCTGACTGCAGTATAGATGAAGGGGCCATTGCACAGCTGCTCTTCACCTCTCTTTTTCCTGGAGGCTTACCACTCCCTTAGCTCTGCTGGTATTACTGCACATATAAAACCACTTTGACCCTGTCAAGTCAGAATATTCACTTAAGAAAGGACTTGCAGTTTAAGAATGCTTAAATAATTCCAGATTCACTGGGAGCAACTGCAGCAGTGCTGCTGTGTGGGGAGGCTGCAGCTGAGAGGGACCTATGCCTGCCCAAGTGCTGCCCTGGGAAATCTTGGCCTTTGCTGACAGAGCAGTCTCCTCCCAAAGGTTCTGACAGCAAGCAGTAGCAGACAAGAGGCTTTGCTGCTTTCTGATGTAGAAAGGGGCAAGTGGATCTGGAGTAGCTCACCTTTTAGCCTTGATAAGCAGTGATGTGGATTTTTCCAAAGAACCATTAATACCTAAGAAGGCAGCACTTGCTTTAAAAAGAAAGTCACGTGCATCCAACCAGTATTTAAATTTCCAAGTTACCCATTTTAATTTTATCTTAAGCCTTGGGTTTTTTTTTTTTTTCTTTTTGTAAAATGGGGTTTATTTGCAATATATGTAAGCTTGCATGTATTCTGAAGGAAAAACATAAGAACAACTCACCCTCAACTCTTTTGCCCAGTCTTCTCCATTTTAGTGAATTAAATTAAATGCTCACTGTGTTGATTTGGTTACTAAATATTAGCCTGTGTTGATGTTTAAGTGCCTTGCATAGAAAAGTATTTAATGTCCATTGTGCTTTGTATTGTTCCAGAATTTGCAGAATCTTGCAATTAAAGTCACAAGTTGGGAGGTGCTGGAAGCTACTGTAAACTTCTAAGGTTTAAAAGGCACCTGTGAGTTCATTTAATGTTGGTAGGAGTACTTCACAGTTATACCTCTGTGAGCAAATTTTGTTCATAAAACAGAATGAATTCTGCAAAAGTGTAGGAAATGACAGTGGTCATTAGGGATGGCAGAGGGGATGGTGCTGATCTGGTGGGTTTCCATTCATCTTAATGATGGCACATGGGCAGAGAAGGAGCTTGTTAAAGATGTTAATGTGCATGGTGCTTATGTTAATCATTATTTTTTCTTAAGTAAAGTTCAAGATGCCTGTTCAGCAAATGTTCTGAAAAAACTTTTGCAACAAAGTGCATTCATAACCAAACCTAAAACTCTTGATTATTGCATAGATTTTTATTCTTATGAATTACAAACTTTAATAAATAGATGATTATGAACTAACCCCTTTTAAATTAAAGTATAAATACCTCAAAATTAATGTGCTGTACTATCTTTTATGAATTCTTTTGCACTGTCTGCCACAGAACAGATTGTCATTTCTCTAAGTTTGAAAATGAGCACATGGGATCAGTCTTCGATCAGCTGGTAAAACTCAGACGCTTGGGAATTTATTTTGCTTTTAATTTTTTTCAAGTGGAAGTTTCTGCTTATTATTTGAGTTTCTGGCTCAGTTACTGGCACAGCTTCAGTGTTCAAAAACTCTGTATTGAATGCATTTTATTAATGCTATTGGTTGAAAATGGGAGAGGTTGGAAAAACTGCTTGAAGCAGTCTCCAGGATCACAAGGAGCATTTACACACTTGGGTTTTGGCAAAGATTGCTGTGTTCAAGCTGAGTTTGATTGAGTTGATGTGTATGTTGTGGAACTCTAAATAAATTTTTGTCCTTCTAGTATCTGATACTAACCTTTTACTTAGTATTTAAAATATCATGTCTTCCATAGTGTTGTTTCATGTTTTTTCAGTAAAAGTACAAATTCAGAAAGCAAAAAGATAACTCAGGCCATGATTACATGCATATTCTGGTGCTGTAGCCTTACTTTGTGCATCTATAAGAACCAAGCACTGTGTCCACCTTGCTCCCAGCTGACTTTCAGCTGGAGCTGTTTCGTGGCCTGTTCCCTGCAGGCTGGGTGATGAGCAGGGTGTGCCTGAGCAGGTGCCCCAGCCGTGCTGCTTGGAGCTGTGTGCCCGGCACAGCCGAGCAGCCTCAGGGGCTCCTGCGAGGCTGAGCTGACCCCAGTGCTTGGGAGCAGCTGGAGTTCAGCATTCAGTGCCCACTGATCCATCTGGGGACATGCTGGAGCTCTTGTTCTGCAGCTTCATTCAGACGAGTTCAGTTTAAAGAAACAATACTGAAAATAAAGATGTTATGGCAAATTTTTGCCCATCTCCTGTGTGGCCTCCTTTGGGTGCAAATGATTTTGGGGGTTTTTGGGGGTTGGTTCTTTGTTGGTCTGATTTTTTCAGCCTGCAAACTTAGAGGCTAGTTCAGTGGTGACAGGGAGGTGTAAATACTGTAAAGTGACAGTATTCACCCTTGTCCATTTCACCTTGTATTTATCTGGCTATTGGTATTTTCACTGAGATGTGACTTTGAAGATACTGTAAATAAGTTGTTTGTAAATGTAGCTGATCTCCATTAAAAAAAAAAAAAAAAAAAAAAAAAGAGTGAAAGTGGAAAGAAGTTCAGGACTTCCAGTTTAGAGAAAAACTTTTATTTTGTCTTTGCATCTTTAAGGTGGTACTGTTCTCAAAAAAGATGAAATGAGGAATCTGTGATTTCCAGTTGTTTACTGAAAGAACATTAACATGTCAGAGGAGAAGGTGGAGGCCAGTCAAGGACTACTTGAGGAAGCAGGTGTTATGGTGACTTCTGCATTTTAATGTTTCAGGTTGGAAGCTTTTGTTCTACATTTGGAATAGCATTAACAGGATAATTTAATATTAATGTGTGCCTGCAGTGGCCAGGCTTGGATGTTACAGAAAACAGCCCAAGAACTCTGCACGTCTACTGTAAGACACAGGAGGGCTGGGTGCGAGGCCTTGAGAGGGAAGGATGGAGGGAGACCTCAAACACTCAGTGCCTTGTAAGCTTGCTGGGGACAGGTTTTTTGGAAAAGGTTCTGTGCCATTCTGCATTCCTGATCTGAATTGGTGGATGGTTTGAAAACTGGAACTTTACATTAATGAAGGGGCATGGAAAAGAAACTGCTGGGAAGTCCCCCTAACACTCCACAACCTATGGAAAGGCTCTGCTTGGTGGGATCCCCAAAGCTCCTGTTTCTGCTGTATTAGGATACTTGGCAATTGTATTTGGAGATGGACACCAATAAAATAAAATAAAACCAGTCTGCCTTCTGTAGGTGTTGAATACCTCTCAGAGAAATCAGTGTCTGTAGGCACATGAACTGTATTGAATCAGAACAGCAGGAAGTGGAGCTGTGCTGTGTCATGGCTTGGTAAAATGGTTCTGCTTTTTCAGCCAGTCTTGGACCCTACTTCTGTCTACAGAAATTGAAGTGCTGGTTAATTTGAGGAACATGACCTCACTGGAGAACTCACCTACAGTGTTTGTAGAGGACAGAGCATTGCAAGGAAAAACCATTAGAGCAGCAATGCTGCTACAGAATTGATAAAAATTTAAAACAATCAGGTAATGTCTTTGATACTTTTACCAGTAATTTTTGAAGAGGAAAAGTTGTGACTTACAGCTCTGCTCCTGTCTGTCCATCCAATGGCTTGTGGGTGGCATTGTATATGGCTGTCACAATCTGTGCCTTTCTTTTTACTTTATTTTTTTAACTTCAAAATCAGTCTGGCACCATTTGGCTGTTGGATGTCGTGGCTGAACCCTCCTGGAACTTCAGCAGGGGGAAAGTCCCTCCTGCAGCACATGGCTCTGCTCATGGGGCTTTTCCCAGGGTCCATCTCTCAGACTGGGAAGTGAGAAGTCTTTCTCCTCTTGTTTGCTTGTATTTGTTTTGGTTTTTTTTTTATTGTAATAATCAAATATTAGATTGAATAAAATGTCTGTTGTGAATTATTTGCTGTCAATAAAGTACAATAAAGCTGAAATGTCAGGGGCTTTCTCCTCAGGTTATTGTGGACGTGGCTACTGTTCTGCTCAGTTTCCTCATTGCAGTGGTAGTGCTTTGTTTTTCCACCTTTTTGAAGATAGACTGAACAAAGAAATTATAATTTTAACTATCAATTTACTGTTCCGCCTTCAGCTTGTGAATTTAGAACAGCAGTTCATTTGTCTTCAGTCAGTTTAGAAATTTGATTAAGGCAGATTTAGGAAAAAGAATTTCAGCTTTTTGGTTTTTTTTCAGGCAAGAGTTTGAGAGCAAAACAGACTCCATATTTCTGGCACATCCTGATTCTGCAGTCAGCTGAGCTGGGTGCAAGAAAAACTTGTCACTGTTTCTTCCTCAGAAGAAACAG